ACATACATACATACAGATATGCGGGGTAGGACATGGTACGATCACTTTGAACAGAGTTGCTCCAGGCCTTGGCAGGCCTCATCTGCATCGCCTTGGAGCGGCGACCCTTTCTGATCCCTCGGGTGCGCCGCTTTTTGCAGCCGGTTCGGGTTCAGAGTTTAAAGGTTTAGAGTTTAGGGNNTTTAGGGTTTAGGGATTTGGGGTGTAGGGTGGGCCCAAGCCACAGGCACGATTGCATTCGCCCTCGAAGGTACTCCCTGCAGATGGCCAGGACCAGCCCACGGGACTTTTTCTGGGTTCTTGAGTCCGTGCCGCGTTGAAGCGAGTAAGCGTGATCCGGATTACATCCTGGACATTTCCAAGCGCTTGCGCTTGCACTGCTCCCCCCCTCGCCCCATTGCCAAGCCGGTCATCCTCGCCGGTCTCAGGCCTGACAACGAGCCCAATCCTCTGAGCCTTCCAGGAGCCAGCTGAGAGATGAGAATCCCAGGTGCTTCGGTGAAAGCTGAGCGTTCGTGAAATGGATTGTCTGGCTAGGCTGAAAGAAGTCTTGTCCGAAGAGTTCTAGCCAGTATTTTCTTGTGTCAGATCCGGCTGGAAGGCGGAAACTTTTTCCTGGAATGAGCCTCCCAGTGCTTCCAAGTGAGTGCCCGGCGAAGGTTGGGTAGCAGGAAGCCGGCCACTCCCGAACCCTAACACCAGCGCCACATGCTTTCAAAGACTTGCTTGTGAATTACTGCACTCTTATGACGGCTTCGCTCGGTAACAGGCTCGTCAGCTTTGATCAGCCTGTTGGCGCAGTTTGTGTGCCTTCTGCGATGGCTGGAGGCAGCGTAGGCGATCAGCTCAGCGGCAGTGGACAAGGCAGTCTTCAATAACTTCACCTCAACTAGTTAACTGGTGCCCGTCACTCATCCCATCCGCTTGACTGGCATAGCGCGAGCAGCTGTGCAGTGGTACTGGAGATGTTTGGTAGCTCATACACTTTACACCTGCTTCGATTGCACAGAGCTGCATTCTTGCTGTCTTGTCACAGACCTTGCAAGTGTAAGGGATCTATCTCTTGGCAGTGGGCAGGCCACGTTTTGCGATTGTTCGGGGTCGGAGCAGCTCCTGCCCATGTTAGCGGCCTGCCAGCTAGTTCACCCATATAGGAGACACGAGGCTGGTACGTTCGTGACCTTCGACCCGCAAGGGCGAAAGCACAAAAACAATTGCCGGTTGTCAGCGCGTTTTCTGTCAGCTCTCTGGGAGATGTGTGGAAGAGCTCAAGAAATCTGCTTCTGCTGCATTGCTCAAGAGACGGGGCTCCTCCCGGCATATCGAGCTGGCTGAGGCTACGAGGTCGGCAGCCTGCACTTTGGGAAAACTCTGAGGAAGTGTTTTGTTTGACGCGATGTTGACGCTTATTCCCTCTCTTTCCGCAAGCCTTTCTCTGGCCTTAGAACCGAGTTTGGCTCGCCCCGTCCAAGACTCGCTCTCATGAAGCATGCCACTGCCACTGCGACTGCCACTCCTCCTCCTCCTCCTCCTCTTCTTTCTTCTCCTCCTCCTCTGCCTCCTCCACCCCCTAGTGCTGATCCTACTGCTAATCCTCCTCCTCCTCCTACTACTACGACGATGACGACTACTACTGTGACTGCGACTGCGACTGCGACTGCGACTGCGACAACTACTACCTTTACTACTGCAGCTGCTACTGCTACCGCACCTGCAACTGCTGCTGCTACTGCCACTGCCACTGCTGCTACTGCTTCTGCTACGACCATTATTGCTGATAGTAGAAAGTTGATGCGAATGTGGCAGTAATGACAGCACAGGTGATTGTGATGGTAATCAGCCACAAGACTTTGAATGGTTGCAGCAACAGCAGGTTATGATGTTGACGCATAGGCTGATGGTGACGGCAAGGACAATCACACATGGCACTAGTACTGGGCTCGTGCATGCGGAGCGTCCCAGGCCTCGTCGGCGACCGGCGACAAGATGGCGCAACTTCGGCATGATAAGGGCTAGAGGGAGACGGCTTGGAAGAAATTCGGGCTGCGGATTTTAACTCCAGTCCGATCTGACGCCCTCCTAAATTATTCTTGATCTCCTTCGTCGTTGTGGGGGTGGTCGGTGTATCTTTGAGCCAAAGCCGACACACCCGCGAGTTCGGGAGCCGGCATGCGCACACCTCTCAAAGCCTGAAGCCGTCAGGTAGAACCCCAAAGCTTTTTTTGCCCAATGCTTCCTTCGGCCAGGTCGTCGGCAGTGGCGGACAGCTTCACCACACGGGAGGATGCCAAAAAGCAGAAAGCCCTGCAGGAGGCACGGCTTCCCTCTAAAGTCACTAAAGTCCCTCTGACACCCCTCTGGGAGCTGTGGGCTATGGTGTTCAGGGTGGTGTATGTGTATCTGCAGCGCTAGTACTTCAGCAGCTTTGGCAGTGCTTTCCTCTCAATTCACCCATTCATCATTGATATCATCATGCCTCAGGCATCAATGCTCAGAAACTCTGTTGGTTCTACCAGCATTCTCGCGAAGCACGCATCTCCTCTGATCTCGTTGTCAAGCCATATGACGCTCCGAAGACTTGAACTACAGACGAAGGGAGCCCAGCGTGATCCAAGCCCTCACTGCTCCGATCAGAGTCGCACCTCGCCTCGGCAAGGCACGAGCTGCCGGCACTGCCGCCCCGGAGACCGATGAGTTCACGGGAAAGATGATCAACCCGCACAACCCGGAGTTCATCACAAAGGCCAGGCCCTGTTGTTGAATCTTTGTCAGGGCTGCGAAGCAGAGAGGAGCACATGGCATGTCCGTGCAGGCGCCCTGGTACCTGAACCAAGATCGGCCGTCGTTGAGACATCACCAAGCATGGAACACCAAGTCGATGGGCACGAAGGATTGGTACATTCGAGGCGTGGCGAGCTGGGGACGATGCAGGGTCTCAGGATGATTCAGCACAATGCTCTTCAGTGTTGAGATAAGACTTTTTGTGCCGACTCCTGTTTGCAGCGCTCTTATTCCATCCATACTCAAGTCTCCGAAGCTCTACCGCTGCAACCAGGCACCAAAGGCGACGTCAAGACCAAGTTCATCAAAGGTGCCTGCGAAAACTGCGGCGCCACAACCCACACGAAGAAGGCTTCGCTTCAGGGCTCATTTTGGTTACAAGAGGTCCATATCAAAGATGACAGGATTGCGTGGAAAGACCCCGGGCGATCACCGCCAAGCAGAACGGCAAAAACCTCATGCCCGATGAGTACATCACGGAGACTTGCGAAGCCTTCCAAAGTGGCTCCAAGACACAGTTTTTTTGCCTCGCCAGACTCGCCAGTTGCAGTTTAGGGTCTGGCTTGTGCAACAGGAGCTGAACCTGGACTACGACGGCAAGCGCGACCGCTGGAACGGCTTCCAAGCAGACGACTACAAGCAAGTCATCGAGGAGAAGCTCTCAGGGGCAATGAATCTGCCGGCTGTTTCTGCTTTCTATCGCTTGTCGCAACGGTTGTCTTTGGCTTCCTCGTAGTTGCAGGAGTGGGAGCGGGTCGAAGCTGAGCGAAGGCGCGTGAAAGCCGCCGAGATGGAAGAGCGCGCGAAGCTGAAAGAGCACCACGGCTCTTGGAGAGCGCCAATGTTAAGGGGATCCAATGAGTGTCAGGCAAGACCGCAACTTGAAGCCTTTCAGCCGTTTGACTTTGTTTTGCTTCCTCAGGCCAGAGCTTTGCTGGCAGTGGTTCGAAGTTTCCAAACCTCGGGATGAAGATATCAGCAGGGTGGGATGCTTCATGCACCGGGGCTTCGGCAAAGCCGAGCTCCGAGCCATGTGGCCCTTAGTCTAATCGTACGTAATCATTAATCATCATCTGTGGTTGTATAAGTAAAAGTATACATATATATCTATATATATATATACATATACGCAGATACATCATATTTAAAGAGTTCTATATACGTATATAGAAATGCCTGAATCCCTACTGCCCCCAAGCTAGACCCTCGGGCCTTGGAGGTGGAGGCCTTTAGAGATAGCGTCTTTTGTGGGCACATTGGAGTTGTTCTGAGTTGTGGATTCGTGTGAGGGTGACGATAGGTACCCTAAGCCACCCACTAAAGCAATCGCAGCTCTTGCCTGGCCTTTGTTCCTTTTGGATCTTGGTCTGAATGTACAAAGAAAGCTTGAGGCTTGCAGGCTGCCAGTGCTGGCACTTCACCTTGTTGCCGACAGGGGATCCTGAGACCCAAGGAAACTTTCCGAGGCTCATGAAAGGTGTCTGTGGCGTCTTTATGGTTGCAGTGATGGTGGAGGTGCTGGAACATGATGAAACTTACCCGTATGTTCGATCGAATTCAAGGCGCCTGAAAGCTCAAAAGAAGTTGCTGAAGAAGAAGCGCAAGCAGCGACGGCGACAGCTGCGTCGGCAGGCTGCTTATACCTCTGTCGTGCCACTGTGTGCCGCCTGGTGTCCAGACCGTTCTGACTACGTAGCATGAAGGCAGGCTCCGAACGGAGACATGCGTTTTGCATGTGCGTTCACGTCTAAAGGCTGAGACTGGTGAGTTTGGGCTTCAGACTGAGCAGCGGGAATTTGGCCGAGAGAAGTTTAAGGGGTCAGCTTTGTTCCAGCTTTAGGCTCCGTTGGAGGGAGTTGAGGTGCAGTCCAGGCAAGAGCTTGCCAGGCAGAAGGAAGAGACGACGATGACACAGACACCGGAGACTCCGCTGGGGCCTTGACGTAGCTTGGAGCTTTGTAGACGCTGCTTGCCTTCCGTGGCTCTGCTGAGGACACTGGAGATTCCGACACAGACACCGATACCGACAGCGACAGTGAAGCTTCCGATGACGAGGCCGGTTTGGTCTGGTCGTGCACGTTCGAGCGTCTGCACTCTGCACATCTCTGCACATCTCCGCATCATCTTGCGAGCGGTCATATGGCAGGACCTGGGCGAGAAGCTTAAGGACTTCGACAAATCGACCTCGACCGTTGCTGCGAAGGACGACAAGCTGCGGACGACGACGAGGACTTAACTGAGAGGCTTTGAGAGTTCGGTGTAGAGAGGGTTCTGCGGCCTGTGCATGTGCAGAGGGTCGTGCACTGTCTGGCAGACGATCAAGGGAGGCTCATGAGATCCTTCACATCTTCTCCTGTACACTGCCGGATTCATGTTAGCCTTGCAGCAAGAACGAGCAGATGCTAGCAAGTCTCTGGCCTTGTTTACTTCGAAGGATTCCGAAGGATTCCAGAACAGGCGTGAGATCAAGTAAATTCTTGGAGTGTCGGACGCGGCGCCAGATGATCCGATTAGGCATTAGGCCACGAACCAGCAGTGGTGCAGGAATCTGCGAATCCGGGAAGACACTGCCAAGTACCTGTTGAACTTGGACGTGAACTCGGCCTACTACGATCCGAAGTCCAGGCCCAGCGCCTCCTAGCCTTCAGGGCCATCTTTCGCGGAGCTTTTTTTGGCGAGTTTCGGACATATGCTCGTCAG